CCATGTTTAACATGAGCATCCACTATTACAGTGTAATACGATGCAATGTATACATGACAAAACAAGGAGAGACGTTGTAAGTTGCACTTGAAAACAGTGCACATGTTTAGGAACATAGCTTAAATGTACATTATAAGTTAATTAAAATATAGATACCTACTCAAAATGACAGTAGTAAGAAGATATATTTAAAGCTAAAGCAAGACCATATAGTTTATAATATATATAATGTGAAGGATGTGGATTTAGTCAACACAAAGTTAAGTACAAATACACTCAGCTATTTTTAACAGCAAGTCTACTTGGATTACTGCACAACCCCAGGAAACAAACCATCGTCAGATTTTTGCTTGATATGTTTATCAAATATATGCAACAATTGCTTTTAAACTGTCAGAACTGTTTAACCAGTCAGGCTTCTGTTTAGTCAGCTAACCATGCCACTGGATAATAAAAGAATTTCTGATGATTCATTGACCACTGTACTCAGCCAGGCTGAAATCTACCAGCAAGATAATAGAAGAATGTCATCTTACCCGTCCATTCTTGCAGATGTAATCAAACAGCTCGCCTCCCGACACATACTCCATAACCATGAAAAAATCTGTCGGGGTGCTTATGACCTGGTACCTGACAACAACAACAACAACAACAACAAAATGTTGTATTACAATGAACTTTTAATACATTTATTAGTTGATTTCACCTTCTATCTTCTATTTTCACCTTTTATTCTCAAAAATTAAACATGTCCCTTTTTTAGGTAGACTAATTTTTAATCAAAATAACATTAAAATAATTAAAACTCTTGTACCTGACATAGTCAGTAATGGAATCGTTAATTAGAAATTACATGTTTTTAATTGAATTGCTTGAGAGGCGTATAGAGAGAAAAGCCACCTCAGCCAGCTCTGTCCAGTTTTTTGAGTATATCAGGAAAAGATTATGATGGGCAAAAGACATTAGCAGAAGGATATATGGCTTTTTCTTTGCAACTCTGCCTAAAAGGGAAGTCTCCGGGAGCTGCTTCTTCACTGCTGATCCCAGAAATAGTATTTTGTGGTTACCAATTAGTGAAGCTGCCAGTTTAGGACCCATGAGGTGTCTGTTTCTCAAAATAGAGTATCTGATGCATTTGTTTCCTTGCTCTGTGTTGCAGGCCTCTCATTCCACTTTCTATTCAGGTTCAAGTTTTTGTGGTTTTATGTAGGGGGTAGGACACACCTTCCTATGGCATCTTCAGTTTTCGCAATTTCCCACAAGGAATAGCATTCATTTCCCTGTTAAGATGACTTTCAAAATAAAAGTCACTTTTAAGTCTGTAATCGAGCAGGCAAGAGTTAATGTTCCAGTAACTCAGCTAACCAAATGAACTGTTTCTTTAATCAACACAGCTGTTATCAGATATGATATCATATTTGGAGAGGTTTCTTCTCATGATCATTTCTGTAACTTGTGCGACAGGACACAGGAGTCATTGTTGCTATTAAAAATCACCAGTCATTCATGACATTTCTGATTAATTTACTGGAAATAAGAACAAATGTGCTTTTCTTTCAAAACAAGGACACAGATGAGTGAACCCGAATGTCTAAACCTATATCGTCCTACATAAACAATACACAGCATTAGCACACAGAAACAAAGGCACAGCAAGGCTGTGATATTGGGTTGCTTTCATAAAGGTCAGGTATGTTAAATTGCAGGCACAATTTCATGAATGGTTGCCGGTGGTAGAATATAAACTTTATCACAATCTATTTCAATACTGTCAAGCTGGGTGAAGCCTAACACCACAGGGACTATGGGAGGAGAAACATTAAGACAAATAACTTTTTTCTTCTAACAATTGAGAGTGTGGCAGCTTTTATAGTCATGGTCGGTATGTTAAACTGCTTCCACGTCTGTACAAGAAGTGTACACAGTGTGCATGTGTTTATTATTGTATATGTCTCTGACACTGACTTCCATAGCACTCCAGCTTATGACCTGACAACTCGCATATCTGCCATTGCTTAGAGTTTTACAGTGGACTAACCCTAACCCTAGACTAAAAATATCACAAACAATGTTGAGAGGGACGGACAGACATGGACTAACAAGGGGAAAGAGGCCAGGGAGGTAGAAGGAAAGAGAAAGAAGGACAACAAAGTCACAGAAAAATCCATGAGGAGAGAGGGATTTAGACATGCTCCTTCATTACAACAATATCCAGCATCTTAACTGGAGATTTGTCCTAGCCAGAGCACATTTCTTTATCTAGCTCCAAGCTTGTGTGCGTGCACTGATATGTTTGTGTGTTTTACCTCCTGTGAGCCTTGTGGGCATGCTCAGTAGAGTACAGCTCTAGAAAACACATGTGAACAAGCAAAGCATGCCACAACACACAGCAAAGAACCCACGTTACAACAAGCAATAATAAAAGAGAGCGCAGTTATCTCTCTGCAAAGCTTGTCAGTCTTCACTGAGAGTCTTAAATCTGACAGACGGATGTGTCGTCTTTCTGTACGTACAGCTTGATGATGTGTGGGTGTCTGAACAGCTTAAGATTCTGGATCTCTCGTTTGATCTTCCCCACAACATCGAGACTACGGATCTTCTGTCTGTTCAGGATCTTCACAGCCACTTTATGGCCTGTCAACTGATGCTCGCCAACTAAAAACAACAGAATACAGACATGAAAGAGACAGACCACAGAGGCTAAAAAAAATTAATAAAAAAATAAATAAATCAGATACCCTACTACATAAGCAGCTTGGTGTGGATTAAAAGGGTTACACTTTGATTTGGAGTCCTGTTGCGTAGGAAGCTTGCACAAAGTAGTGAATGAACTGTGTTTGTTATATTGAGCTTTTGCTCTCTTTTGTAACCCCTATTTTCTTTCCATGCGTTTGTTTATAGTGTTGGAGCTATCTGCCTGCTGGAGGCTCTGAAACCAAGCTGTTATTGCAGCTGCCAAACACTGCACACAAAACTCAGAGTCAGATACGAACTGGGGCATGAACTGCTCCACAACTAACACACAAGCAGTAACCTGAAACGAGCAAGCATTAAATATACACACACAGTCATTTTTTTTATTCTTTCACACATGACTTTACACAGATTTTCTCCTAGTGGTTTGGGAGTGTGAGCAAAATCATCTTCAGAAATAGCCATGGTTTCAAATGTTTTAGCAGCACACGCAAGAAACAGGCGGGGTGAGCATGGAGTTAAAGCTCACAAGGTCATGCTGAGTGTCAGAGAAATAGCGAAGGCTACCCTAATAATAATCTGTTATACGCATCCTATTGAAGCTTTAAGATTGTCTAGGGTTTGCCCGACTTGACAAGCACTTAACAAGCTACCACCGGCTAGCAGAGAATAACACATCGGACTAGCTTGCAAACATTAATGTCAGTTCAACGTTAGGTTCCCACGGTGGGTCAAACGGTGAGCTTCAGACGTCCTTTGTCGCCAGACAGGGCAAAGGACAGCCACCACCGCACAGTCCTTATTACTTAACGATATACTATTGTAATGCGAGTGTGACTGTGCATCTCTGTGCATCCAGGTTTTATCACCTGCCATAGCTGATAACAGCAGCTACTGAGGGGGGCTTCGGTGAAAGAATTTGACTTTGAAGCGGTCAGATTCTCAGACTACAGTACGTTTAAAATCCAGTCTGTTGCCGTGGTTAAACCGCTCAACTACGCCAACTGCTTCACTGACCACCAGCAAGTTGAACACGAAGCGTTAAAGGGGTGGGAGGGGAGTGGGGCACAGCGACTACTTGACATTAACTACTCCAACTGAAGGCACAAACGTACACATGAAGCCTGGCATGACACAGAAACAGGACTTAACTCTTCACTTTGCCGAATGTCCCCACTCCGAGCGTGTCGCCGAGGATGTAATGGCCGATCTTTACCCTGCCTTCGTGTTTCTGTTGTTGCCTCTCTGCCATCTTCTCCGTTACCGACGGTTTGGCTCGCTCGGTGAGGTGGGAGCACTGCCTGCCTGGCCTGTGCAGCGCACGGGGGGCGGGGAGGAGGGGGGCGGGGCACTTCACAGTGAAGAACCACCAACGGCGGAAAACGCGCGCACGCACGTGAATTATCCCTCCAAGAACCAGGCGCGCTCTCCCACCTACCCTGCACGGAGCAACCAACAGGGTGTTATGTTGAGTTTAGTAGCCCAGTCAAATACTAACCCTCACGGTCTAAATATATAGATGTATATATATGTATATATATTACTCATATATTTCGTGAGTAATTATTAGTTATTAGTAATTATGGGTATTTGTTGTTTTAAGTAAAATGTTTTTTTCTTCTTTATTCCTAAATGCAAAACGTGGATTTCACCACTAGATGGCAGCATACGTATGATTCATCAATACTCAATACCTGGTATGAGTTTCGGATTTCTTTCTGCTCCTATGTTGAACATACGCAACAAGCAAGCAATATTTATTTATATAGCCATTTCCCCGGACAAGAACCACATCGAAAGGAATCTAGGACAAAACAACAATGTGAAAAAAGAGGAAACGGGAATACGATGAAAATACACAAAACAACACAAGGCTCGAGCTTCTCAAATTGGACAACAAATAGTATTCGCTCACCAACAGATTATATTATATTATGTTATATTATACGTTTTTTTTTATTAAACATAAAATCGTCTGGAAACAGAAATTTCCTGAAGTTAAAAAGGATTAAAATCACGAATTACAGACTTCCAGTCTTTGTCTCTGTATGGAGACTGGACAAATATATATAAGGTTTCGACACATTTTTCACATAAAAAACAAATATCAATCTTTTAATTAACATTTGAACCTTAATTGTTACAACATTATATTTTTTGTTCATCTTTTAAAAGAAACACTTTATTGAATTTAAAAAAAAAAAAAAAAAAAAAACCTCTAGCACTATATACTGGAACATATTCTCTTTATTTTGTCTGTCCAAGAACAAAGATTTTTAATAGTCTCAACTCAAAAGCGTTTCGGTTGTTTTGCGCCTGTTACCGTGAGTAACCGCTAGGAGCAGTTTATCCGCAACGGTGGTCAGTCCACTGCTGGTCTCCACTCTTCCAAGTTTTTCAAGCAGGGATGGAGACGATTACTCGTTAGCAGAGAGAGGAGGAGGGCTGCTGTGGGAACTAAGAGAGCGGGGGGAGGAGGAGGAGAAGAAGGATTGATATAACAAGAGCGGCTGTCGGTGCGCAACGCAAGTCTCACTCCAAGTCTTTGAAACAACACAGATAAAGGGGAGCGGGCTTTCCATTCAGTACCAGTGCAGGCAATTTTTTTAAACTAAGTTCGTGCCGCGGGTCAGTTCTCCATTTAGCCTACTACTCATCTGACTTTTAATTATTTTGTAAAACTGAAATACGAGAGAGCGAGTCATAAACAGATCAGAAACTCCGAGAGAGCTGCAAGTTGGGAAGTTTGTTTCCCGTTGCTTTGCATGACATTTCTTCCAAGGACTTGAGAGCCTGACACAGTTTCTTCACAGACCGTGCGGTGTGGGATTTTGATCTGAAACGGGGACTCGTCAAATGCAAAATTACATGTATGAGAAAGCAATGGCTCAAGAAACAAGGAACGGAGGAACCTCTACGTTAAATAACAACAATGGTGTTGACAACAGTAAGAAGAAGGTGCTAATAGTGCTCGATGTCTTCTGCCTTCTACTTGGTAAGTTCACAGATATGTTTACACGATGCTTTCATCTCTGTTACCATTTAAACTCAGATCAGCTTTTGTAGAGTACGTGCAAAAAAAGTGAAGACAGAAACTTCTGCACATTGCAATCACAATATAAGCCATCTTTAGAATAGATAAACAGTGCCCGCCTTTTCTCAAGTTTGCCAATAAGAGTATTATCATTTTAAAAGTATTGCCCGTTATCTGTAACTGCAAAACAACTTCAGCTGCTACATCCCCTTATCATCCAGTACCAACGCAACACCCCCGGGCAGTGGAAGTGCCGAATAAAAAAAAAATCAAACAACATTTCAGGAGTTCGCACTTTTAATTTTCTTTAATTCAACCCAGAATCACAATCAGATTGTAAACTGAGAAGAAGAGAAAACATCTTTTCTTTGTTGTTGTCAAGACAGGTGACTAGCTTCTCTCATCGGAAATAACTGTCACCAGATAATGTACCGATCATTTCAAAGTCCATGGAGTGTCACTGTAACTGATCAGTTGTCAACATGCCTTGGGCATAAATATTTTCAAGTGTTCTAACCTGCCCTTAAAAATAGCCAGACAACACCCACCACTTCCCCCAGTCTGTTCTCTGATAACCATGATCATCTGATCCCAAATCAGATGAACATGTTTATCAGTCTTGCTAAAGCTAGGCTGAGTTGCAAGGTGACTAAAGTAAAAATCAAAGTGTAATTAAGATACTGATTAACAGCTCACAAAACAGTCCCCAAAGCTAATGTCACATCAGGTTTTTTTTTTTTTTGCATTAGCTCTCATTTGCTTCCACAGAAATCTTAATGTGTGTTAGTTCTAAGTATTTATTCAGTGGGCATCCCATACAGATTCAGTGTGCTGCCTTTGTGTATGTGTGTCTGGTGTCTGTGTGTGCGTTGCTTTGTCGGTTTGTTTTTGGCTGTTGTCACTGTAGCCCAGTCCTTTTAGTGTTGAGCGCCAGTAAACCCCCCCCCTCTTTTCACACTATTTTCATTCCCCCCATCTCCCCTTTCTCTTTTTTGGAAAAGGATTATGGGAGTTCTGCTTAACTTCTACACATTCACTCCTAGAATCTTGCCAATCCCTGGCCAGCTGCCCCTGATCTCTTCACTTCAAATTACTTTCTTTCTTTCTTTCTGGCTCTCTTTCTCCCTCTCTGTCCAGGGGAATGCGTGGAATAATTGCTTAAGCATGTGTTGTGGTAGGGGAAGGCCTCTCCAATTTGAGTGAGGGATCGAAAAGTGGGACCGGTGGCTGACCGGGCTTTAGAGGAGCAGGTGGGAGACACACCAATAGCGCAATATAAAGGAACCAGTAAAGTACCGATGAAGTATGCAACACTACCACACAGGAGCTGGATTGTATCATCCAGTATGTTACAAATGGTGCACATTAACTCCACATAAGTGCTGTGAGGTAGAAGCAAAGCTCGCTGACAGACAAAGTTTTCCATTGGGTTTATACTAGTTTTCTTATTAAAGAACCCCAGATAGAGATACACTGTTTCATCTGCACTCATATAACTGTAGATGAGCTTTGATCACATGTGGACTGAATTTCCTGCACAAACCAACTTCCTTTATTGGTTAAAGCGCTACAGACAGTTCTCCATTGCCTTGTTAGGACACACACACGCACTCACAGACACGCATGTATGCCCGTAAACTCACACAATGCGTGTAAGAACACAGTAACAAATGGTTACAAAGATTCTCCTTTGTTATGCTAAACACAATCTGGCTGCTCAGTGATGATTGGTTGGCCCACTTCAGGGGTTTTGGGGGGAGTTGCGGGTTTGGTGCGAGGGGTGACTGGGGAGGGGGTTAAAAGAGAGGGAGAAGAGATCAGTAGAAAGGGAGGGTTATCAGGGCATCCTGAATGAGGAAGGAGGAATGCGGGCGTGTTGTCGAAGAGCTCAGCGGAATGCTTAATGGTTGACAGCTTTTGTTCTGAGCCTGTTTATGGCTAAAAAGTAGTGTAGAGTACTAAAACTAGGAAATAGATAAGTATCTCATTACCTTTAATTAGCTCCTATTCTGCCAGCTGGGCTCTACACGCAGAGTCTCTGCAGTTACATCTTCCTATAGGATGTTAATGTGCCCAACTGACACACCCTTAGGCGCAGATAATGAGTGTCTGCATAAAAGACATCTGAGACCATCTATAGCTGCACACAAGGACAAAAGAAAACATGTTTACATGTTTAATGAAAAAGCCATCCCAGTTGGTTTTGCTGAAGAAAACTGATAATGCACAAGTACAGCAAGATTAGAAAGGCATTGAAAAAGCATACTCACATTCACTCCAGCACTCAACTACCAAGACCAGGGTTACGGCATACAGTTTTGGCAGCTGAGCGCAACCGTCATCTGCTGATTTCACTCTGGATCAGGTTCCACTTCTACAGAGCAGTCGAGTTGATTTAGCAATGCTATAAGGAGCGTGCACACAAACAGTATACACTCACTATAAATACACAAACTCGACCGCAGAATTTCGTATTCCCTTTTGGCGACTCACGGCCCAATAGTCTTCTCTTGGCTGTTTGAAAAAAAAAATGTTTATTGTGAGAACGCTTTGCAACGAGACGCAGACTAGAGCCCTCTGGAACCCAAGCATCCAAAAGTAGTCTCACTTAAACCATGATTAAGTTTTACACAATGCAAAGGGGATTATACTTTATGTGTTTGCTTCCGCAGAACTGGTTTGGGATGGAGCGGTCTTTTTGTAAAACATAAACATGGATTCTCCAGGACTGGCTTCATTGAGTCTATATATGCTTCTTTTAAAGGATCACGATCTGTCTCCTTATTATGATCTGTGAGGCAAAAACATATATATAATGTTTTAAAACGTTTAATTATGTGTTTATTGCAAAATTTGGAGCTCTGATACAGTCAGGTGTTCAGCGGTCTGCTTTTCCACAAATCACACACAGGTAGCCAAGAAGAGCATAACCTTTTGGCCTCAAGGAATCAGCTTCATAACTGGCCCCGGAGCGTTAACCCTTCTGTATTCAACTCCTGCGTTCCCATCAGCTGCTATAACATTACAGCAGTCAGTCACACAACCTCTCATTAAAGTCAGAGAGGTTTAACCTCCACCTCTCCAGGCCTCAGCCACTTCAATCCTGAGCCGCTCTACAAATATTTTTGAGAATTTCACAAATTCTTCATCTGGCTGTAGCTCTGTGCCCAAAGACTCTGGATGGGACATCTGGTGCAATTTTGGGAGTAAGTGAACCAGGGGGCATATAGAGTGTGTGTGTATAGTGGAGCTCAGGAAAGGGTGGGAAACGGAAAGGTAGTGTCGGTCGGAGGTGGGTGTGGTTGTGAAATGAAATCCTGTCTCTTTTTTTTGCCTCCTAGTCCATTTCCACATCTATCTCCATTCCTTCCCTGTGTTCCTTCTCTACCGGAGCCAGTCTTCTGTCTTCATAATAGTCTCAGAATAACAAGGGAAAGATCAATAATGAACAAAATAATATTAGAAGAATATTGCTATGCATGGATTATACAGTCTGTGTCTACTAGAAAACTACATTGAAGCAGCATGTGAATCCATCACAGAGAAACTGAAACACAGGCTCCAATCCAAAGATGCTGACCTTAATCCAAGCGTAAATATTCTCAGGGATTCTGCACAAGTCTTTCAGAGGTGGGAGCCATGAACATGTTCTTAGAAATATATTTGGCTGGGATTTATTGGGATCTGTTTAAGACATTAGATGAAAGGTCAGGAAGAAAATAGACTCACATAAGATCAATATCTGCAATGCTCTTCGTGTGACACTCATGTGTCACCCACAGCAGACACTTAAAACACTTCAAATGTTTGACTTGCTGCGGGTGCTTTAATCAGTTTGTTTCTAATGAGAAGATGACTCTGAAAGCAATACATACATTGTTATTATTGGACATAAGCAACCTTCATATACAAAGTAAAGTAAAGTAAAATTTTATTTATATAGCACCTTTCAAGATAAAATCACAAAGTGCTTTACAAAGGCAGAAAACAGACATTAAAATATAAAACAAAACAAAATCAACCAAAAGCAAGTTTAAACAGATACGTTTTTAACTGCTTTTTAATAGACATGCACAGAAGAATATGTCTCAGGATTCAGTTTTGACAGTAATCAGATTGAGTGTTTATTGTGAGAACACTTTGCACATCATAACACAACATAGCTTGATTACTCGACTATACTTTTGCCGTTATAATATCTAAATGTTATCTGCGCCCAGCCTGTGATGAGTGTTTGTTGGCGGCTTCAGGACAAGTTGAGGTTATGGCTCTTAAGAAGGTGACGAGGTGACGAGTGTCCTCTGGCAGAAGATAAAGATCAGCAGATGTCCCTGACAACAGAAGCCTAGGGCTACTATCTCTCCTAGATAAGATGCTAATATAAGTGCACATTTTTGGGAAGATCTATGTTTTTCGTGCATGTTGAGATGAAGAGCACCGGTGGCATCAATGCCAGACAGGTCTGCAACATTTTCCGACTGTCATTGTGACATGCGGTGGGTTTCTGCTGGTGCAAGAGTTAACCACCAAACCCCTGGGGTACGTGCCTTAGCAGGGCTGTGATTAGAGGTGCGTGGGTGTGAGCGTGTGCACGTGTGTCCTTTGGGATTCGGGAATAAGAGAGAGGGCACCCCGAGCTGTCATTAAATGGACCATATAGCCTGAAGGGTGAAGCATTTTGTATTCACTCTGTGGGTAGCATGTGTGAGGCATGTGTGGCTCGATTTATAGACCTGTGTCCCATGTGGCTCCCGTGGGCAAGCTGAAGGCATAAGCTTGACCAATTTGCCTGTAGCTGTTCACACCGCTATACAAAGCAGACACATTCATCTCCTTTACCTTTTTTTTAAGCTGTCGCCATCCTGGCACGCAAATTGCACAATAAAACAAAGACACCAGCTTGTAGTTTACGCTTTGACAACAATAGTGTAGTAATGCCTCTCATTCTCATGTCTCATCTA